TCGCTTCCCAACTTCAAGCTCTACTACAAAGCCACAGTAATCAAGACAATTTGGTACTGGCATAAGAACAGACCCACAGACCAGTGGAACAGATTAGAGACTTCAGACATTAACCCAAACATATATGGTCAATTAATATACAATAAAGGAGCCATGGACATACAATGGGGAAATGACAGCCTCTTCAACAGATGGTGTTGGCAAAACTGGACAGCTACATGTAAGCAAATGAAACTGGATCACTGTCTAACACCATACACAAAAGTAAATTCGAAATGGATCAAAAACCTGAATGTAAGTCATGAAACCATAAAACTCTTAGACAAAAACATAGGCAAAAATCTCTTGGACATAAACATGAGTGACCTCTTCATGAACATATCTCCCAGGGCAAGGGAAACAAAAGCAAAAATGAACAAGTGGGACTACATCAAGCTGAAGAGCAAAGGACACCATCAACATAACAAAAAGTCATCCTACAGTACGGAAGAATATATTCATATATGACAGATCCAATAAAGGCTTGACATCCAAAATATATAAAGAGCTCATGCACCTCAACAAACAAAAAGCAAATAATCCCATTAAAAAATGGGCATAGAAGCTGAACACAGAGTTCTCCAAAGGAGAAATTCAGATGGCCGACAGACACATGAAAAGATGCTCCATATCGCTAGTCATCAGAGAAATGAAAATTAAAAACCACAATGAGATATCACCTCACACCAGTTAGGATCGCCACCATCCAGAAGACAAACAACAACAAATGTTGGCGAGGTTGTGGAGAAAGGGGAATCCTCCTACACTGCTGGTGGGAATGTAAACTAGTTCAACCATTGTGGAAAGCAGTATGGAGGTTCCTCAAAATGCTCAAAATAGAAATACTATTTGACCAGAGAATTCCACTCCTAGGAATTTACCCAAAAAATGCAGGAGCCCAGTTTGAAAAAGACAGATGCACCCCTATGTTTATTGCAGCACTATTTACAATAGCCAAGAAATGGAAGCAACCTAAGTGTCCATCAATAGATGAATGCATAAAGAAGATGTGGTACATATACACAATGTAATATTATTCAGCCATAAGAAGAAAACAAATCCTACCAATTGCAACAACATGGATGGAGCTAGAGGGTATTATGCTCAGTGAAGTAAGCCAGGTGGAGAAAGATAAGTGCCAAATGATTTCACTCATATGTGGAGTATAAGAACAAAGAAAAAAGTGAAGAAACAAAACAGCAGCAGACTCACAGAACCCAAGAATGAACTAACAGTTACCAAAGGGAAAGGGACTTGGGAGGATGAGTGGAAAGGGAGGGATAAGGGGGGAAAAAAAGAAAGGGGGCATTATGATTAGTATGTATAATGTGTTGGGTGGGGACACGGGGAGGGCTGTGCAACACAGAGAAGACAAGCAGTGATTCTATAGCATCTTACTACACTGATGGACAGTGACTGTAATGGGCTTTGTAGGGGGGGCTTGGTGATGGGGGCAGTCTAGTAAACATAATGTTCCTCATATAATTGTAGATTAATGATACCAAAAATAAATAAATAAATAAAATATAGTAAAATGTTATGACAGTATACCAAAATATAGGAGGAATCAGGAATACATTGCTGTAAGTCCTTATTCTACACAAGAAGCCGTGCAGTATTTGGAGGTAGACTGTTATTAATTTCAATGGTGTATTTAAGGGCAGCTACTAAAACATCTTTAAAAGAAAAATAAAGCAACAGTGGAAATGAAATGCAGATTAATTAAAAATTGATCAAAGATAAAAATATAAAGGTACAACTACAACACCCTTAGAAAAGAGGGGTAAATCTTCACAACCTTGGATGTGGCAATGCATTCTGAGGTATGACAGCATTATAGGTACCAACAATGAAGGAAAAATAGATACACTGGATTTCATCAAAATTACAAACTGTACCTTAGAGGGTAGTATCAAGACAGTGAAAAGGCAATCCACAGAATGAGAGAAGACATTGAATATATAGTTCCACAAAGATACACAAATGGCCGATAGGCACACGGAAAGATGGTCAGTGCAAATCAAAACCACAATGAGATACAGCTTCACATCCACCAGGATGGCTATAATAAAAATACAATGAAAAAAAAAAAACAAAACCTAGCTAAGAAGAAGCTGGTAAAGACGTGGAAGAACTAGAACACTTATACACCATGGGTGGGAATATAACCAAAAAGATGGGGAAGATGGGGTCAAACAGATACTTGTGTACCAATACTGACAGCAGCATTATTCACAATTGCCAAAAAGCGGAAATCTACATCTCCATCAACTGATGAATGGATAAACAAACCATGGTATGTTCACACAATGTAACAGTATCTGGGAATGAAAAGGAATGAAGTGCTGATATATGCTACATATATGAACTTTGAAAATATCATGCAGGCTAAGAAGCCAGACACATAAAAGGACACACATTGTTTCACTTCATTTATATGAAATGTCCAAAATGGGGAAATCTGTAAAAATAAAGTAGATTAGTGGTTGCCAGGGCAGGAAGGAACAGGGAATAGAGATAAACTGCTAATGGATATGGGCTTTTGATAGTACGTGTGTGAGACAAGGAAATGTTCTGAAATTTGATAGTGAAGATGGTTGCACACTTTGAATATATTAAAAAATCACTGACATGCATACTTTAAAAAGGTGAATTTTATGGTGAGTTATAACTTAATTAAGCTGTTATTAAGGGGAAAAAAAAATTCTACAAGGGAAGAAAAATATGGCCTCTGGATTAGTTTCCCTGTACGTTTCCCAATACGTACTGGGAGTGCTGATGACACCTCCTTTTCTGCTTTGGCCTGGGGGAAGTAGATGAAGTACGGCTGCCTTTGGCTCGACACCAGACATCGCTGCCACTCGTAGAATCCATCTGCCAAAACAACACAGCGTCTTCCCTTGCCCAGAGGGACCTGAGGGAAAATGTAAGATACGGTCTTACTGATAGAATCTTGTTTCACAGACTTGAGTTACAATCTGAGGTCCACCAGTGTGGGACTGTAGGCAGTTATTTAATTTCTCTGTTCCTCACTTTTCTTATGTATAAAGTCACTACTCACACAGGGGTTGAAAGATTAAATAATGTACATCAATGGCAATAGCTCTCTAACAGATAGGCACTATGGTTGCTCATCTCCAAAGTGGGTCCCCCAGAGTCATGTACCCCAGTGTTCATCACCTCCTATGAGGCTAGGTCACACTGCCTTACAGCTTCCGCCCTGCCCTCCTGGATCATGTGCTCTGGGGGGAGGCAGATGCCATGTAAGAAGACTGACAGTGGACAGCCCCAGCTAGGCACATGGAGAGGTTTCCAGCCATCCCACCAACCCGAGCTGAGATGTCAGACGTGTGGATGAAAAAGCCAGCTTGCCCCAGCAGCCATCTGATTATAACTGCCTGAGAGCCTCCAAGTGAAAACCATCCAGTTGAGCCCAATCAACAGAATATGAGAAACAATAATAGTTGTTTTAAGCCAGGTTTTGGCACAGTTTTTACACAGTAATAAACAGAACAGTATTCAGCATTAACTGGGAACACCTGGGAACCTTATTTCTTAGGTGTGTAAGGCACCAACAGCGCTGTTAGAAGGGAGAACAGACCAGAACATGTGCCTTTTTCCGAGACCAGCCTCCTACCTTGAAGGACCGCTTCTGCATCATGGTGTCACTCCGGCAGTTGGTGGTGTTGAACTGCAGCTTGGAAGGATCACTTTCTTTGAACCAAGATGGGACCAATCCCCACCGCATGGGGGCAATGATGCGCTCTGATGAGTCTGCACCCTGCCACGAGAAAAGATTAAGTCCCAGTGAGATTATAATGAAATTTATTTATTTTTTTTTATTAAGGTATCATTGATATGCAGTCTTACGAAGGTTTCACAAGAAAAAAAATGTGGTTATTACATTCACCCTTATTATCGAGTCCCTCCCCACACCCCATTGCAGTCACTGTCCATCAGTGTCATAGATGACAGATATAATGAAATTTAGAAAACCAAACTTAGCACATGAATTACATTACTATTAGTATCAAAACACAAAGACTACAGAAAAGATGACTAAAAGGAAAAGATCCTAGTTGTAAACAGCTTTAATGGTGCATCATGATGTGAGTGACAGAGTTCTTCAGCAGTCACACTCGAATGTCAGACATCCTGCCTGGGTCGGGTGCGGGTGCAGAGGTCTATCAGTCCCTGTAGTTTTAATGTGTGCTCAAGATGGGAGCAACACAGTGTCAGCCCTGCAGTGCACCTGGTCCCAGCTCTCAAGGAGGACATGCTAGACAATCACAATATAGTGAGCTACATGCCATGATCGAGGGATGCAGAGGGTGCCATGGGGGCACACGAAAATGTGCTGAACCTCAAAGGGCTTGCGCTATAACCTATGAGACCAAGGCATACAGAAAAATATTAACAGGCTAAGGGCCATATAAGTGGTACATACAATGAGTATCAAAGGATTTCAGTGGAAGACTGATTTGTGAAAGATGGAATGAAGAAATACTGGCTCCACAGAAGGCGCAGAAAGGGCAGGGGTGGTGGGGGAGTGTTCTTGAATTGAATCTCACAAGAAGTACAGGATTCAGAAAGAGAGAGGGAAAGCCAAATAAAAAATTATGAGCAAAAAAGGCCATGTCAAGAATGTGCAGGAAGTGGTTTTGTGCAGAAAAGAACAGCAAACCCGACAATGTTACTTTTAGGAGGGGTTTGCTTTAAAAGGTTGGCCCTAGGTTAGAGTGTGGGAACCTGGTTCTTGAGTGTTCCCACCTCCCTAACAAATAAGGATGGTTTACATGCTTAGTATGTTTGTGCAAAAATAAGGTTTATGCTAAACACCTGCTTTCCTTCTGGGAATCTGGCATTTTTTTAAAGGAATAAACTGTTTTTTAAAGGAATAAACATTCTGATTCATCAAGTCTTTGTTGGGGCTCTGTACTTTTTTTTTTGAGGTACATACAATACAATGCCCAAATCTTAGTGTACTGCTCGATGAATTTTTTACATGGGTATACACTTATGTAGTCATAACCCAGATCAAGATACCAAATAGTCTAATGTTTTCCCTTTGCTTCTTCAGTCTGTGGCTTTATCCTCACTGCTGTGTCACACGCCCTGCTCCTACCAAAACATGCACATGCACCACACATGCATATAAAGGCCTGGGGCCCATTTAATATCTAGACCATCACATATCACTTGCAACATATATATATATAGTATTTTGATTAGCAGTACTGTATCAGCATCTTCATATCTTAATGCCAGGTGCTTGTTAAACAGATAAATCCTCATTAATTCAGATTAATTGGGTGAAGTGGTACATATGGCCAGTGTGAACACAAAGTCCATCTCCTGCACTGGCCTAGGAAATGCTGTTCTATTGAACGTACAGCAACAGAGACCCAGGGCTGTTAGCTAGAGGGCCTCTACAACATCCTGACACCAAATGCCATGGTGTATTTTTCCTTACATATATGTATAACAGTAACAATATTATACACAGTAGTAATAGTAGTATAACTCCATTCAGGTTCCCAGACCGTATTCCAATGTGTGTAAGTATGTAGGAGGGGTTCTTCCCAGACATACTAACACCAAGCAATTCTTGAACAGGAGTAGGGTGTTGGAGAACTCAATTCTAATGCTTTCTGCCTGGAAACAGCATCAGACTCCCTGGTTAAGGGCTCCGTCCTACAAGACTGCCCTCCACCCCCACTCCAGATGCTGGTCACAGGCCCCAGGCAGTTACCTGAGCTTCTGACCTACCGGCTACAGAGTGGAGGTTCCCACAACCTTCCCCTTAGGTTCCTTTAATTTGCTAGAGCAGCTCACAGAACTCAGGAAAACATATTTACCACTTTAATGAAGGATACTGTGAAGGATACAAGTTAACAGCCAGGTGAAGAGAGACAAACGGCAAGGTCCCAAAGGAAGGAGCGTCTATCCTCACGGAGCTTGGGGCCTGGCTCGGT